TTCATGGACAACTAGTGATCCAGCTTGATTAACATGACACTTTTTTTGACCAAAACCTAAGTGTTAATGAAATGGTACATTTAGAACATACCTACTGCATTTCTTGCACACCTCACATGCTTGGTCAGGTAAACAAAATGAACCCTGTTTGCACTTGCACTGTGTGTTCTGGGTATTTGTGCATTTCTCTGTGGTTTCCTGATCTGCAGAAGTAATGAAGGTGCACAAATAGCATGCAATTTAGAATTAAATATGCCTAATGGAAGTCAAACATTGTGTGAACACAATATTGATTTGGCTTGCATAACCTTAGAGGTTGTCCGTTATAAGAATTTACGCAAAACTATGGGACAAACTATGGGACTTGACAGTATGGGGACAATATTGACTGTTCCAAATAACAGAATTACCTATACGGCACTTGGTGCATGATAAACACTTCCGCAGTCCATTGTCATGCTCAGTGTATCTGTCAAACTCGCACGGCTCACACACTCCTTTTTCTGAAGGAGTAAGACAGGCCTTTTTCACATATGTTCCTGCAAAAGATGAGACGGTGGAATGTGAGTGCACATACAAGAAAACATTGTCTAATCAGAATAAAAGGATTTCAAAAATTCTCATCCACCAGCAGGGCAGTTCAGGCAGCAGATGTTATCATGTTCATACTCCATGCCCTCTCTGCAGGAAACATCCCGGCTTGATCTGTTCTTGATGGATCCTTTAGCCCAGGCCAGATCCAAGTGACTTTTAGCAGCATGTATGGCATTTAGTAATAACAAAATCTACACATGGAAGAAACATAAAAAAGATACATGCATGCAACACACAGAGTTTCAATAAAGACTGGCTTTTTGGTTAATAATTATGATCTGGGATGAAGTTGTGTTGGATTTTATACTGACACCTATTGGTGTAAAACTTTAATGTACGTCTCAGGCATACGTTTGTTTATATTTGTTAGAAACTAAAGACTTGGTTCCTATGGGTCTATAGTTGAAGGTTTTGCTTTTGTTTTATGAAGACATTTTCATATACCTTCTGTATAAAGACGTTTTGGAAATTATCCTCAGTATTTAAGTACTTCAGTATTTAGGTAAATTCAGACTATGAACTGTCCTATTATTTCTAGGTAAATGATATTTTATTGCCTTTTTATGTCAAAACACTGTATATATAATTGTCCAAATCTTATTTTTATAATTTTATTATATACATTTATATAATTTTGTTAAATAAAATCAATGTAATTCTATGTTAAAACAGTCTAAAGTGTATGATGATCTGCATCTGGAGAGAGATCAAGTTTCTCTAAATCTTGATCCAGAGATACTGGTCTTAATGTAATTTATATTTTAAATCATTTTCTAATTATTTAAAAGATTTTTTGTTTTTTTTAATCGACAAGGATCTGTAGTGCCAGGTCGTTTATCGCCATCGACTAGTCCAAACACGCCTCAATTTAACGCGTCAAGAAGCAAACTAAACATTTAAACTTTCTCTATACCGACACACTGTATAAAAAAATTAAATAAATGTTATATTCACTTACCAAGAAACGTATGTATCTCATAGTAGTCAAATCGTTGTGTCACTTTCTCAGGATAAACTGAAAAAAGCTCATGTCCCATCCTACTGATAGCGCACCTCAGAGGATTTAGCTGTTTAAAACTTCCGGTCTTATATTATGGAATTGAGCGCTTCTTTAAACCAGAACAATCCGCAAGCGAAGTTACGAATCCTACTATGGTCGAGGCCTAATTTATGAGTATTAATTAGTTCCTGGTGACGTTGTTTTTATAAGTTTCTTAGCGTCCAGTCACGTGACCTAATTAATATTCATGAAGCCTTCGCTATAGTGGGATTCATAAATTCGCAAAACAAACTGTTGGCCCATGAATCGCCTACAAGCTTCACTTTGTGTGGAATAGCTACTTAAAATGTTTCAGTATTTTCTTTTTTATTTCTTATGAGGTAATTAGGCCCTATCATCTTTCTCCGTGTAAACTTTGGTGTCAGTCAAATAACCCATTGTGAGTGAATCTCCAACAAGCACGCATCTGAATTTAGGATGTCTCACTCTCGCTTGCTCTCTGAACGCACACACAATCGTAAACATTATTATCAATTTCCGAGATGCAAGGGCATTTCTGTCAGTTTGGCGCTATCTAGCAGACAGTTGACTGTGACAGTGAGATAGTGACACATTGTAAAACAGGAAACTGGCCAATACTCCAGTAATGCGCGCGGAAGAAGCTGGGACTCCTGTTTGTTTATTCATTTACCAAGTCTAAGGGGAATTTCATACTGCTGCTTCAGAACGCAGACAAAGGACAACTCCTTGACTTCCAGCAAACATACGCTCCACCACGTGATCCATTCATTCGCTATATTAGATTACACTCATTTTCAACAGTTTTAATTGTTTGTTTTCTAGATAAACTATTTGTATGGTCTGTTGTAAGGCATTACTGTGGCTTATTGAAAGCATCTTTCTATCGTTCTTTGCTTTCAATAAATCTATAGTCACTACATCGTTTTGTTGCTTCCTAGCAGCTAGTTTAATTTCCCCCATCCTTTTTCAGCTAGAGAAGCCAGACAGCCAATTATGTATACATTTACTGACAAAAGCACTTTTCTATAATGTAATTGCCTGCCAAGGCTGTAACTATACAGCGTATTACAATGCCTGTTTGTATAATCTCTGAATTTGGATTTATTAAGATGTATTTTTGATTCAGATTTCTGAACGTTGCTCTAAGAATTGATTAAGCATTAATAACAAACAAACATTTTGGTTACCATGGTTATGATGAGGGCTGGATCTTTAGTCACTCATGTGTCCTTTGATAAGAAAGTTGTGAAGGAGGGGCTGTTTGAGATAAGACCAACTGTGGACTTTGCATCAGCCATTTATGATCCTTAAAATTACTGCACGTCTGAGACTTTCAAGCATTGCTGAAATTAACATTCTTATCATTAAATGCGTATTAAATTATCAGCTACAGTTTTGTGAGAAGAGTCGGCTGATTTTGTTCTCACACGCAGAAGTGCATAATCACATTGTTTTTGTTAGGATACATTAGGATATTAGTTTAATTGGTAAGAACTACATTTGGAACAAAGCAAAGCAAAAAAAATAAATAAATAAATTGCAGACATTCTATGCCATTTTTGTAAGGCACAGAAAAAGTCAGGCATGCAGTGTATAACTGTCCCATAGGAGTGCCAGTCTGACACTAAATGAAAATAAAGAAAACCATCAGCACTTGGAAATAAAATAAAGCCACGAGGCATGTTTGCTAGAGTTGCAGCTCTCTTCAGCTGTACATTTATTTCCAAAAGACTGCATATACATCAGCAAACTCTACTGTACAGAAAACATCCAAAATGTTAATAATCATAGCTGGCGATACCAAACAAGTATATTTAGCACTAGAAAAGCTCTTGACCCCTGCATATCAGTGTAATATAGTGTGTTTTTTTTTAACTGATATCTTACAGTACATTTGCATGATTCAGAACCATCTTAACCTGTACAACATTCATCATTTACAGAAGTTATACAAGGCACAAGAATCATAATTTGAAGCAAAGGCCTAAATATAACATGAATGTGGGACAGATAAACATTGTTGACTTAACCGTTCAAAGGCTTGAACGTATCACTATAAATGCAGTCCACAATAATAGGGCAAAATCTTAAATTTGGTTTGTAGCCATTTCTAGAATTATGTTTTTTTTTCTTCTAGAATTATTTCTATAAGTTTAACATCATGTTCCAATATTTGGACATAAATGTGAACATTAATAATGTTTAATGAGTTTTTTTTATTTTTTATTCGTTAACATGACAAAACAATTACATGTTTTAGGAGTGACAGCAAATTTGCTAATAAATGAAAATAAAGGAAATATAATAAAAGCACATTTTGGGCTATTTAATATAGTTGTGGACAACTACAGTAATAAACACGTCAAACATGCTGCTGTTCTCAGTGCTTCTCAACATGAAGTGATCAGCAAATCATTAAATCCTTCATCAAACTTATATTAAAAATACAAAAAAGAAATATTTATATAAAAAGAATATCCAGAGTAAGAGATAAAGCTTAACATTTTAAACCAGTGGCAAGCATTGTAGTGGCTAGAACACTGAAAACCAATTAAAATGAGCTCTTGGAGGCATTTCTGTTTGAGAGAGAGAAGGTTAATGAAGTAGATGACTTGGAAAAGGAGGACAACTTTTTTCCTGCACTTCTGACAGCATTTTTCCACACAGCTCTTTTTCTTTTATCAGACCTTAATTATAACTCTCAGTGCTCACCGGTCCATGTTCCCCCATTGTGTTTCCCACCGCACGGTGGAATATGGTCAGAAGAGATAAGAGAGGCTTAATTTCACAGAGGTCTCTTGGAGCTCATCCTTTTCAGATGCATTTCAAAAGAAAGCTATAAGTTTTAACAAAAGGGATGTGCTGCCGTTTGCATGGCTCAAGTAAACGCTTCTTCTGGTCAATATCTGTCTCAGGCCTAACGCTCTATAAAAGGCATGATACCATCCTGCTGTCTGCCCTGATGACTCAAACACGCTCACAGGAACAGAGTAATGCATTTGAGTGAGCATTGAGGTATGCATTGAGGTTTTTTAAGCAAAAAACGTAATGGATTTTGGGATTTTTCTTTTCTAATACGCAGTGCTCTGCCATAGCCGAAGAATCTTTATTATAAAACGGATAGTTCCGGTCCTTGATTCTGATTGGCTGAGCCACGTTCGAAGCTGTTGTAAATTACTCTACAAACATACACCTTTGTTTACTTGTGTGTGTTGCTCGGCAACCACTTTGTTTCAACCACAACTGATTCTGAGGAACTACATTGATTGGTGGAAGAATAATGTTTTTATTAATATCATTACACTTTATTTGCTCTGTTTTATTTTGTGAAACCTTACTATGTATATGGAATAACCGTTTTATAAAAGCAATAAGGACAACTAGTGATCCAGCTTGATTAACATGACACTTTTTTTGACCAAAACCTAAGTGTTAATGAAATGGTACATTTAGAACATACCTACTGCATTTCTTGCACACCTCACATGCTTGGTCAGGTAAACAAAATGAACCCTGTTTGCACTTGCACTGTGTGTTCTGGGTATTTGTGCATTTCTCTGTGGTTTCCTGATCTGCAGAAGTAATGAAGGTGCACAAATAGCATGCAATTTAGAATTAAATATGCCTAATGGAAGTCAAACATTGTGTGAACACAATATTGATTTGGCTTGCATAACCTTAGAGGTTGTCCGTTATAAGAATTTACGCAAAACTATGGGACAAACTATGGGACTTGACAGTATGGGGACAATATTGACTGTTCCAAATAACAGAATTACCTATACGGCACTTGGTGCATGATAAACACTTCCGCAGTCCATTGTCATGCTCAGTGTATCTGTCAAACTCGCACGGCTCACACACTCCTTTTTCTGAAGGAGTAAGACAGGCCTTTTTCACATATGTTCCTGCAAAAGATGAGACGGTGGAATGTGAGTGCACATACAAGAAAACATTGTCTAATCAGAATAAAAGGATTTCAAAAATTCTCATCCACCAGCAGGGCAGTTCAGGCAGCAGATGTTATCATGTTCATACTCCATGCCCTCTCTGCAGGAAACATCCCGGCTTGATCTGTTCTTGATGGATCCTTTAGCCCAGGCCAGATCCAAGTGACTTTTAGCAGCATGTATGGCATTTAGTAATAACAAAATCTACACATGGAAGAAACATAAAAAAGATACATGCATGCAACACACAGAGTTTCAATAAAGACTGGCTTTTTGGTTAATAATTATGATCTGGGATGAAGTTGTGTTGGATTTTATACTGACACCTATTGGTGTAAAACTTTAATGTACGTCTCAGGCATACGTTTGTTTATATTTGTTAGAAACTAAAGACTTGGTTCCTATGGGTCTATAGTTGAAGGTTTTGCTTTTGTTTTATGAAGACATTTTCATATACCTTCTGTATAAAGACGTTTTGGAAATTATCCTCAGTATTTAAGTACTTCAGTATTTAGGTAAATTCAGACTATGAACTGTCCTATTATTTCTAGGTAAATGATATTTTATTGCCTTTTTATGTCAAAACACTGTATATATAATTGTCCAAATCTTATTTTTATAATTTTATTATATACATTTATATAATTTTGTTAAATAAAATCAATGTAATTCTATGTTAAAACAGTCTAAAGTGTATGATGATCTGCATCTGGAGAGAGATCAAGTTTCTCTAAATCTTGATCCAGAGATACTGGTCTTAATGTAATTTATATTTTAAATCATTTTCTAATTATTTAAAAGATTTTTTGTTTTTTTTAATCGACAAGGATCTGTAGTGCCAGGTCGTTTATCGCCATCGACTAGTCCAAACACGCCTCAATTTAACGCGTCAAGAAGCAAACTAAACATTTAAACTTTCTCTATACCGACACACTGTATAAAAAAATTAAATAAATGTTATATTCACTTACCAAGAAACGTATGTATCTCATAGTAGTCAAATCGTTGTGTCACTTTCTCAGGATAAACTGAAAAAAGCTCATGTCCCATCCTACTGATAGCGCACCTCTGAGGATTTAGCTGTTTAAAACTTCCGGTCTTATATTATGGAATTGAGCGCTTCTTTAAACCAGAACAATCCGCAAGCGAAGTTACGAATCCTACTATGGTCGAGGCCTAATTTATGAGTATTAATTAGTTCCTGGTGACGTTGTTTTTATAAGTTTCTTAGCGTCCAGTCACGTGACCTAATTAATATTCATGAAGCCTTCGCTATAGTGGGATTCATAAATTCGCAAAACAAACTGTTGGCCCATGAATCGCCTACAAGCTTCACTTTGTGTGGAATAGCTACTTAAAATGTTTCAGTATTTTCTTTTTTATTTCTTATGAGGTAATTAGGCCCTATCATCTTTCTCCGTGTAAACTTTGGTGTCAGTCAAATAACCCATTGTGAGTGAATCTCCAACAAGCACGCATCTGAATTTAGGATGTCTCACTCTCGCTTGCTCTCTGAACGCACACACAATCGTAAACATTATTATCAATTTCCGAGATGCAAGGGCATTTCTGTCAGTTTGGCGCTATCTAGCAGACAGTTGACTGTGACAGTGAGATAGTGACACATTGTAAAACAGGAAACTGGCCAATACTCCAGTAATGCGCGCGGAAGAAGCTGGGACTCCTGTTTGTTTATTCATTTACCAAGTCTAAGGGGAATTTCATACTGCTGCTTCAGAACGCAGACAAAGGACAACTCCTTGACTTCCAGCAAACATACGCTCCACCACGTGATCCATTCATTCGCTATATTAGATTACACTCATTTTCAACAGTTTTAATTGTTTGTTTTCTAGATAAACTATTTGTATGGTCTGTTGTAAGGCATTACTGTGGCTTATTGAAAGCATCTTTCTATCGTTCTTTGCTTTCAATAAATCTATAGTCACTACATCGTTTTGTTGCTTCCTGGCAGCTAGTTTAATTTCCCCCATCCTTTTTCAGCTAGAGAAGCCAGACAGCCAATTATGTATACATTTACTGACAAAAGCACTTTTCTATAATGTAATTGCCTGCCAAGGCTGTAACTATACAGCGTATTACAATGCCTGTTTGTATAATCTCTGAATTTGGATTTATTAAGATGTATTTTTGATTCAGATTTCTGAACGTTGCTCTAAGAATTGATTAAGCATTAATAACAAACAAACATTTTGGTTACCATGGTTATGATGAGGGCTGGATCTTTAGTCACTCATGTGTCCTTTGATAAGAAAGTTGTGAAGGAGGGGCTGTTTGAGATAAGACCAACTGTGGACTTTGCATCAGCCATTTATGATCCTTAAAATTACTGCACGTCTGAGACTTTCAAGCATTGCTGAAATTAACATTCTTATCATTAAATGCGTATTGAATTATCAGCTACAGTTTTGTGAGAAGAGTCGGCTGATTTTGTTCTCACACGCAGAAGTGCATAATCACATTGTTTTTGTTAGGATACATCAGGATATTAGTTTAATTTGTAAGAACTACATCTGGAACAAAGCAAAGCAAAAAAAATAAATAAATACATTGCAGACATTCTATGCCATTTTTGTAAGGCACAGAAAAAGTCAGGCATGCAGTGTATAACTGTCCCATAGGAGTGCCAGTCTGACACTAAATGAAAATAAAGAAAACCATCAGCACTTGGAAATAAAATAAAGCCACGAGGCATGTTTGCTAGAGTTGCAGCTCTCTTCAGCTGTACATTTATTTCCAAAAGACTGCATATACATCAGCAAACTCTACTGTACAGAAAACATCCAAAATGTTAATAATCATAGCTGGCGATACCAAACAAGTATATTTAGCACTAGAAAAGCTCTTGACCCCTGCATATCAGTGTAATATAGTGTGTTTTTTTTTAACTGATATCTTACAGTACATTTGCATGATTCAGAACCATCTTAACCTGTACAACATTCATCATTTACAGAAGTTATACAAGGCACAAGAATCATAATTTGAAGCAAAGGCCTAAATATAACATGAATGTGGGACAGATAAACATTGTTGACTTAACCGTTCAAAGGCTTGAACGTATCACTATAAATGCAGTCCACAATAATAGGGCAAAATCTTAAATTTGGTTTGTAGCCATTTCTAGAATTATGTTTTTTTTTCTTCTAGAATTATTTCTATAAGTTTAACATCATGTTCCAATATTTGGACATAAATGTGAACATTAATAATGTTTAATGAGTTTTTTTTATTTTTTATTCGTTAACATGACAAAACAATTACATGTTTTAGGAGTGACAGCAAATTTGCTAATAAATGAAAATAAAGGAAATATAATAAAAGCACATTTTGGGCTATTTAATATAGTTGTGGACAACTACAGTAATAAACACGTCAAACATGCTGCTGTTCTCAGTGCTTCTCAACATAAAGTGATCAGCAAATCATTAAATCCTTCATCAAACTTATATTAAAAATACAAAAAAGAAATATTTATATAAAAAGAATATCCAGAGTAAGAGATAAAGCTTAACATTTTAAACCAGTGGCAAGCATTGTAGTGGCTAGAACACTGAAAACCAATTAAAATGAGCTCTTGGAGGCATTTCTGTTTGAGAGAGAGAAGGTTAATGAAGTAGATGACTTGGAAAAGGAGGACAACTTTTTTCCTGCACTTCTGACAGCATTTTTCCACACAGCTCTTTTTCTTTTATCAGACCTTAATTATAACTCTCAGTGCTCACCGGTCCATGTTCCCCCATTGTGTTTCCCACCGCACGGTGGAATATGGTCAGAAGAGATAAGAGAGGCTTAATTTCACAGAGGTCTCTTGGAGCTCATCCTTTTCAGATGCATTTCAAAAGAAAGCTATAAGTTTTAACAAAAGGGATGTGCTGCCGTTTGCATGGCTCAAGTAAACGCTTCTTCTGGTCAATATCTGTCTCAGGCCTAACGCTCTATAAAAGGCATGATACCATCCTGCTGTCTGCCCTGATGACTCAAACACGCTCACAGGAACAGAGTAATGCATTTGAGTGAGCATTGAGGTATGCATTGAGGTTTTTTAAGCAAAAAACGTAATGGATTTTGGGATTTTTCTTTTCTAATACGCAGTGCTCTGCCATAGCCGAAGAATCTTTATTATAAAACGGATAGTTCCGGTCCTTGATTCTGATTGGCTGAGCCACGTTCGAAGCTGTTGTAAATTACTCTACAAACATACACCTTTGTTTACTTGTGTGTGTTGCTCGGCAACCACTTTGTTGCAACCACAACTGATTCTGAGGAACTACATTGATTGGTGGAAGAATAATGTTTTTATTAATATCATTACACTTTATTTGCTCTGTTTTATTTTGTGAAACCTTACTACGCATATGGAATAACCGTTTGACAAAAGCAATAAGCCCCGTGAAGCCGTGGTTTACAGTGAATTTATAACAGCTAAGAGGGTTTTAGTTTTAACAACGCCCCTTAGCTGTTATAAATTCACTGTAAACCACGGCTTCTTGGGGCTTATTGCTTTATATTACCATATATTATTTAGAATTATTATTCAACCGATCCCATTAAGACGGAGATAAAAGAATGTCGTGAGTCACGATCACAATGTGTGATGAGCAAAAAAGGCAGTTTGCAGGAGTGTATTTCCCTCTCTTCCCTTCTCTAAACATCATATAGTGCAAACAAAGCACACGTCAGTAGTAACATGCAGAAGGGATGTAAATACTTCGCAACTCTGGAACACTAGTGAAAAAAGGAAAAGATTAAATCGATAGTTCAGCCAAAAATAAAAAGAGTCTTCAAACAAAAGAAGATATTTTGACAGTTTCGGATTCCATTGTATTTTTTGTCCATATAATAGAAATAGAAAAACTGAAACAGTTTGCATACCAACATTTTCCATAACATCTTCTTTTATGTTCCAGTTAGTGCTGTCAAACGATTAATCGTGATTAATCCAAAATAAAAGTTTTTGTTTACATATGTGTGTGCGTACTGTGTATATTATGATGTATATATAAATACATACACAAGCATGTATATATTTAAGAAAAATATGTTATGTTTATATATTAAATATATTTAGATATAATATAAATTATATGAATATATACATGTAAATATTTTCAAAATATATACTGCATGTGTGTGTATTTATATATACATAATAAATTAGTACACACACACATATATACAGTATTATGTAAACAAAAACTTTTTTTTGTGGATGCGATTAATCGCAATTAATCATTTGACAGCACTAGTTCCAAAGAAAAATAGTCATACAGCTTTAGAACAACATGAGGGTGAGTAAATTATGATAGAATTTTCATTTTGGGATGGACTATTCCTTTAATTATGATGCTGACACAAGGAAATGCTCAAGAACATCCCAGTCTGGCCACCAATAAAATCCCACACAATAATAATAATACTACTACTAACAATAATAAAATCATAAACACCAAGGAAAGGCTAAGGTGGAATTTTATGAAAGTTGTGATGGCTTGGCTCTTTTAGAAAAGCATTTTGAAGCTGTTAAATCTGTGCCAAATTCATACCAACTCATCCTTCCTTCGCACATGTACAGATATGTGAAACCTTCTGATTGGTCGCATCTTGTCTGAGTCTTCTGTCAGACTGGATATGCCTCAGCTGGCTCCGCTTGGACTCTAAATTGAAGATGCTGGGGAATTGCACCTGGTTGAGTACATGTTGTCTTCAGTAGTCCCTCAAAACGTAAAGTCTGTTTCTTTGTCATCTGGACTCTGAGGCAGACTTTTACAGTGGATCTTTCCGATCTCCTCCAAAGCACTTGCAAGGGAGTCAAGATCTCCACTGTCCTGATGCCTGGCCTCCCAGAGACTGAGAATGACAGCAGAGGGACTCTTCTGCTTGGTAAAGTAGGACAGGTTCCTGTGCCGAAAGGAAATGCAGGTTTCACAAGAGAAGATGCCGTTATTTGAGTACATAGCAAGATCATATTATATATGTCAATCTTCTATCCCAATGTTTGCAAGCACGTCTGGATAACTTTTTATTATATTTGCATTAAATTATATGTGCATTATAGCCTGACTCTGATTATCCTTATGTATGTATCCTTCTGTTGTTTTTTAAGGACTACAGCTGAAATTAATACATGACGTGTGTGCTGTTACTTG